TACAAATATGCGCTTGTTTCTTTATCACAGTTCCCACATTGGGCAGAGACTAGTAGGCATCCATTATTTGCCGACAGTCGAGTGTAACGACCTGCAGAAAGCAGTGAGGACGACAAACTGGAAAAGATAGGCAGGGTCTCAAGCCGAGAACTGTCCTGATGAGCTAAGTTATGTACAACTTTAATGTCATCTATAACATCATCCCAACTCTACTAGCCTAAACAAGTTCATTTTATTTTAATTTCGATTTATTAAATAAATCTTTTTGATGTTGTTACACAGAGTTAAGTAAATTGTGTACTTAGGTTCAAGTGTCTTTGTGCATATTAGTTTACTTCAGCTAACAAATATTTAAATCACTTGATGGGGGCTTTTAAGGAATGCCAGGAGAGGAGAATAGTCGAAGGGGTTAACTGAGCACCTGGATTATATCACAGTGGGTGTATCCAGATATCTATCTATCCCTTCTCCTTCTCCTGTGGATACAAGTACAGCAACTTTCATTTCATGGAACGAGCCACTCGCTGTTTTCTTGGCTATCCAGGACTGTCTAGGATCAACATAGCTTAGATAATAGTCCAGTTTCTCACGTGGGTGGGCATTGTTAAGGTTCAAACCCACACCCTCACTATATCAGTGTATTTACCCACGTGGGCGCGCGACATATGCCCTGTGGGTTCCAGTAGAAAGAGATTAAAATTATATCTTCTCAGGTTTTCTCAACGTGTATCGTACCCAAAACAGTAACTTTTCTTCACCCTCGACTCCCTGGAAACCCTTCCCTACCCCCCCCCTCCGCCCCCCCCCATTCCGCCCCCCCCCCCCGTCTTTCCTCTCACACAGCTCTTCTTCGCCGTATAGTCCATGTCGTGTGGCATTTACAGTAACTTGTGGTCATGTTTATCCACAACCTTCTGTCTCACGTACCTTGAATCAGTTCTGACAAATGATCTTTCATGACCTGATGTCAAACTCTCTCGGTCTCACTCTGTCTATTTTCCCATTCTGTTTTCCTACCGTCATGATGTATTTCAGTTGTCTTCTTCTCAAGACATGACCAAAGAACATAGCAATTCCCCAAAGCTCTACATTAGTGATTGTATCATACCATTTAATGTCCAAAAAGAGACCGTTATATCATCTCACTGAAACTCAACCAGCTGTAACTACAAAACGTTTCTATTCAATTTATGTTTCACCTATAGCTAGTTCTCTTCTTCTTCTCTTCCACTTTGTACCTCATCGAAGTGTCGGGGGGTTCACCCACAGCAAACAGTCTTACAATTATGTTTCTCTTAACTTTACCAAGTTACTGTTCAGCTTGCATTGGTGTATTACTTACAAACTGATTAGCTCTTTCACTGCCATTTACTCCTGCATGCCCAGGTGTGTACATCCAGATTATGGAGGTTAACTGCGACTTCTGAAAGCCTTCCACCGATTCGGAGCGTAAACTAGCTGTTGCGATTTTTTTTAGCACGTTCACGGGGTCTGAAAAGATTACTGTATGTGCGACTGCTTGTTGCCTGGTAAGCACCACTATCCCCTTGTAGTGTTTCCCCCATCCATTGTGCGTTGTGTGCCCATGCTGATCTGGACCCGAGCTTCACGTACCCATCTGTGTAAACAACGACGTCTTATGTGCATGCATGATAATCAATCCATTACCTTATCTCGGCATCTGCGGTGGCAGGTATCTGATTCCTGCAGTACCTCCTCAGTATTATGACAACCTTAGACAAACCATTATGTCTACTGGTGTATCCGTCCATTCTTTTCCGTGACTGATCTCGTCTAGGCCACAGACTTGCTGGATTTGATTTTCTACCTCGGTCATCGAAGAGGAACCTCTCTTGAAAGCTCTCCTTTTAATAAGATTGATGGCGTTGTGCAGTGGGTGGCTGATGTCTGGTGATACTCTCATGTACTCCTCAACTTTTGCCTCTTTATGTATGGTGGCCGTCGTCGGTAAACCCAGGACATACCTTATTGTGTGGCACGATATAAATTTTGTACAGACAAGTATGAAGCCTATGGTTTCATTAAGTACCTGGTCCAGTATTTCTAGCTGGGTTCTACTGACAGTGAGGAGATGCAGACTCTAATCTATAACATGAGACCTAGATAAAGAAAAAAAAAAGTAGGCGTTGTTCAATGTCAGCGAATGCCATCGCCTTCAGTGCCATAAGACCTTTCCTAGCTCTAACTGTGGCACTGTCTATGTGATGCTTGTGTGACAACCATTTGTTGAAAGTCATTCCAAAGTATCTTACTGTTTTCGCTCTCTTGATGTCTATACCGCACATGCTCACGATTGGTGCAGGTTTAGAGACGATGTAGGTGTTCAAGAAGAATTATGTCAAAGACCCTTTTTCCATGCCTTGAGCATTTCGGGCAAACAGGGCTAGACCTATATTTTTTAGACCGATCGGCACTAGGTGGGTGATTTGGTCATCATCGCGCCGCCCGCCTTTATTTCACAGGTCTTTACTTATTGCTATTTAAGCCTGTTTCGACCTGGGAGCCAGGTAATGACAGAGCTGACAGATTGGCAAAGAAAGGAGCAACACAAGAACAACCACCTACAGCGACAACCCTCCAGACAGCAAAAACACTGATAAGAGCTATAAACAAAGAGACTTGGTTGAACATATGGGCCATGGGAGACACTGTAAGAGAGGTTTATAGACATATGTCTGGCCCTGATCCTAATGACAGCATTAACCATCTAACAAGAAGGGACCAGGCAACCATATTCAGACTTAGAACGCAACATACTCCACTCAATGGACACCTAAACAGAATACAGCCACAACACTCCCCAGAGTGCCAGCTATGTAACTACCCCTACGAAACTGTTGAACACCATCTCTTTGAGTGCCCAAAACTCAGTGAGACAAGAAGAACGCTACTCCCTCCGAGACCAGACAAGTGGAACACCTTGTACGGAGGAAAAGAACAGCTTGTGAAAACATGCAAATTCCACTACATGGCATTGGGCCAAAGGGCGAAAGCTCATGCGCCGCTGGATCGATAACAACAACAACAACAACCTGGGAGCCAAGGTTATTTCTGAAACAAGTCTGGCTCCGTTACGACCTGAACCCACGACTTTCTGATCCGCAGACGAGTGTCTAGCTACTACACCACGGCATCTCATGTCTGTCTTTAAACATGTGAGAAAACAAAATAACTAGGAAAAGTCAACAACAGTAACACTTAGTTGTCAAACAATGTATTGACTCACCTCTATTATTATCACAGTTAGACTGGTCTTGTCCGTGGACCACAACAGTTGTAGCTTGAGCTTCCCTGTAGGCTTAATGGGCGGGGCGTAGCGGGGTATCAGCTCTTCCAAGTTCAGCTCGGTCAGAGCGACAGGGGTGTCAGGTAGGCCGATGACTTGTCTCTGAGATACCAACAAGACATCAAGGATAATGGTGAACAAATAAATCACAAATCACAGAAACCAGAAAACTTATAAAGCGCAGATCCTTGTGTGCGTGCAATATTAGTTGAGGGAGCTCTACCCGTCCTCCCCTGCCCCCTCCCAATTTTGTAACAGAAAAACACAATTTATTGGAGAAAGGGGGGGGGGCTAAAAAAAACTAGAGGCCCCCAGTCTCCCCCCCCCCACCACTCACTACCCCATTCCAATAATTTTATAAATGGATTCAAAGAGCCACTTTAACTGTGTATAGAATTTATCTTTACAAGTGAAGTGTTACCTTGGTGTACATTCAACTTAGTAAACTACTGTTTAGAAGCGAAAACTGTTGCTTGGTATGCGAACATTGTTTAGAATACGACCTCCGTGCTAGTTTGTCTGTCAAAATTAATCACAACACTACAGCATTTCCTCTTTCTAGACAAAGTTACGGTTATATAACACTAACTTCTCAGAGAAGTTTCACACCAAAATATCCCAGACAAGCTATAATAACCACGACTGGAATGACCTGACGATGTCACAACTCTGAAACATCGATGGGAGAAGGCAGAAACAAAGCTCTTTCTGCAGATTTTTAGAAGAAGTCAAACTGGATGAGCATCGTTCAGCGCTGAAACAAGACCGAAAATTAAGAAAACAGCAAAGACACCAGAATTTGAGATTTCTGAAGTCTTACCGGAAGGGGACTTCTTTTAAATAATATTTCCTTCTCCTCCGTTCTCAGTACTATCCTAGCGAGCACTCAAACCTTCTCAGTACTATCCTAGCAAGCACTCAAACCTTCTCAGTACTATCCTAGCAAGCACTCAACCCTTTTCAGTACCATCCTCGCAGGCACTCAACTCTTCTCAGTACCATCCTCGCAGGCACTCAACCCTTCTCAGTACCATCCTCGCAGGCACTCAACCCTTCTCAGCAAGGTCAAGTGAGAATACAGTTCCTTGTTCTTACATCTTATTGCTTTTGTATAGATATTTGTGATGGCATGTTGTCTAATACAGCAGACTTTTCAGGGTCTCTCTCATGTGAACATTCTGTGGAGCTAAAGTTACTTGAGGCACTGTATCCAAGTCATCAGGCCGATGCTCAAGAGAAAGGCGAGATGGATTTACAATCAGACAGTTACTGGTGCCATCGGAATTTTAACTCTTCGCTTAATGCTGAAGATGGGGACAGAGCGCTTATAGGAGTGTTCCAAGCGCGTGATGTCGATTCACAATTCAACGTACATGTTGCCCAGAGACGACCGACGTCAGTTACGTCATTGGTTACAAAATGTACCAGCCTTGATGGGGAAAAGCAATATGAACAAACAAATCAAGAATACAGGAAACTAATAGTGCACGACCAACTAACTGCCTTGTGGTAAAGCAAACAAGAACAAAATTTGGTTTACAATTTCACACACAAAATTTGTAGACGAAAGTCTCATTCCATTAGTATGCTTAGTCTTTTGGCATGATCGCATTCTTCTGCGGGTGCAGACCGAGTTGTTTAATCTGCTGAACTATATTCAAATTAGAAGATAAAATCGCTCTTCTTTGAAGATTTCAACAATAAAGGCATTGCTAAGATCACAATTATTGCTGCAGGACATAAACTGTGCCAAAACGCGCTCCAAAATGTCGACATCCCTTGTTTCCACAGAAATACCGTGTCTGTAGTAAAGGTCTACGCAAATCGCCTTTGTTGTCTAAGTTCAAAGCTTACGATTTTCGTGAACAATCTGTAAACTGATATTTATGTCTGCATTATAGTGCAGTGTTGCCACTTTGGATGTTTTACATCCTTATTTAGATGTTTTTCCTTGCATTTAGATGGCGTTTTTGACGTTTAGATGGTAGATGTTTTTCTAGATTTTTTTCATATGGAGTGAATTTATCAAATGTAACCTAAAAAAAAGGATGGAATTTGACCTCTTAAATGCTATCTTGACAATAAAATTCTGCCTGATAAGAGTAGGAAAAGGCTGTTCCACTTATCAGCTCCCTGATTGGGTATTAAAAGAATTTAAAAAGCTAAAGCATACCAGAGTCATTTTGGATCTGAAGCTTCAACTTTATCATCCTAGCTAAGTTTATCCTGTGGATCTTGTGAGGCAGATTTCAGTAAAGATGAGGACATGATTCTATAGGGTAAGTCATTATCAATTGCTGTGTAATTTGCGACTTTTCCCATTCGGATGTTTTTCTAGATGTTTTCCACGCAAATTTGGATGTTTTTATATATTTTTCGACTTAGTTTTGGATGTTTTTTGTCAAAGAAAAGTGGCAACACTGTTTTTGTGAATAATATATGTTCATAATCCAGCGTGTGATTCGAGGTGTCCTTTCTTATTTCTCGAAGTGGCTGATATTTCGAAGACTTGTTTAATGCCGTATGTTTCTTTTGGGGGGGGGGGGGGGGGGGGGGGGGGGGGTGTATAAATGTGTTTCTGTTCTGCGCATTCTGTCAGATCCTTCTGCCATTCACTATCAATCAGCACTGCCAGATTGCTTTTTTTTAGTGCTAATATTGCAAAACGTGATGTCTAAAAATTGTGACTGCCATCTAAATTGACATTTTGTCCTGCGTGTGTCTGTCTGTGTTGGTGTGAGTGAGTATGTGTCTGTCTGTGTTGGTGTGAGTGAGTATGTGTCTGTCTGTGTGTGCGCGCTAGCTCTCGCCCAATTTTTATGTTCATTAATCTCATTTCTACTTTTATTTTAGTGTCAGTAGAACTTTTGTTGTCACAAACCTCTAAATGGTTTCTCCAAACTGAATTAGGGGGAGTTCATTAAAACGTGAATCTGATGGGGACAAAGTTGGGGGTCAACTCGAACTGCTAACTTTCTCACCCCCAAAAATTCCTTCACATGACCGGTAGCAAGTGACGTAGATAAAGTTCAGAATCCATTGACAGGAATTTGGAATTTTAATTCTATACTGTTTTGTAATGAAATCTAGGCAGAAAGGGGTTAAACCAATAAATACATTTCAGAATACCATCAAGGCATACTAATCCATCACTGTGTGACATGACAGAAATGGGTGATTAGAAAGCTGGCCTGGCCAGCGATACAGAACATCTGCACGGTGACCAGAGTTGAATTGAGTGCGGTTATCTGAGTAATACCATGACATCTGACAGAAGGATGAAAACATACGACAGAGAGGGAGGTCGACGAGTACCCGTGAGCAACGCGATGCACGTGTCCAACTGACGATACGTTTATCCAAACGTGACCACCAGAGACAGATGTCAGGGGGTGATTGAGAAAGAGCGGGAAAGCGAGGGGAAGTGAGTAGCCAGCGGCAGACGGGGGAGGAGAAAGGCAGTCAGGACGGGACCGCTTGAGAGGACAGTTAGGACTGGACCGCTTGAGAGACCAGTCACGAAAACTAGAGCTGGACTTCGTTTAAAAGTTATATATATTAAACTTGGAGTTTAGCTAAGAGAGTGATTAAGGAACTCATAGTGAGACATAAGAATAGCCACTAATAAGATAATGAAGTGCTTTTATAATATTGTTATTGAATGATTCATTCTGTTTGACTTGATAAGTTTATTAATAAATAAACTGCTGTGTAATTGTTAAATCACTGGCCTTGTTCTTGAGTACGATCGAACAGAGCTACGAACTGTATCCATTCACCTTGGCCGAAATAGGCACATCTATTTTTTGGGGGATGTCAAGGCACGACTGTGCCACAGTTTTTATAAATCAGCAGAAACCAGGTGTGTCATGGTTTGGATATTATTTCAGCCTACTTTGCTTCCTAACATATTTACCTATAGCCATGTTAAAGCTCGATGGCCACGTTAAAGCTCAATAGACATGTTAAAGCTCAATCGACATGTTAAAGCTCGATAGACATGTTAAAGCTCGATAGACATGTTAAAGCTCGATAGACATGTTAAAGCTCGATAGACATGTTAAAGCTCAATAGACATGTTAAAGCTCGATAGACATGTTAAAGCTCGATAGACATGTTAAAGCTCAATAGACATGTTAAAGCTCGATAGACAAGTTAAAGCTCAATCGACATGTTAAAGCTCAATAGACATGTTAAAGCTCAATAGACATGTTAAAGCTCAATAGACATGTTGAAGCTCGACAGACATGTTAAAGCTCGATAGACAAGTTAAAGCTCAATCGACATGTTAAAGCTCGATAGACATGTTAAAGCTCAATAGACATGTTAAAGCTCAATAGACATGTTAAAGCTCGATAGACATGTTAAAGCTCGATAGACATGTTAAAGCTCAATAGACATGTTAAAGCTCGATAGACATGTTAAAGCTCAATAGACATGTTAAAGCTCAATAGACATGTTAAAGCTCGATAGACATGTTAAAGCTTAATAGACATGTTAAAGCTCAATAGACAAGTTAAAGCTCAATAGACATGTTAAAGCTCAATAGACATGTTAAAGCTCAATAGACATGTTAAAGCTCAATAGACATGTTAAAGCTCAATAGACAAGTTAAAGATCGATAGACAAGTTAAAGCTCAATAGACATGTTAAAGCTCAATAGACAAGTTAAAGCTCAATAGACATGTTAAAGCTCAATAGACATGTTGAAGCTCAATAGACATGTTAAAGCTCGACAGACATGATAAAGCTCAATAGACATGTTAAAGATCGATAGACATGTTAAAGCTCAATAGACATGTTAAAGATCGATAGACATGTTAAAGCTCAATAGACATGTTGAAGCTCAATAGACATGTTAAAGCTCGACAGATATGTTAAAGCTCAATAGACATGTTAAAGATCGATAGACATGTTAAAGCTCAATAGACATGGTAAAGATCGATAGACATGTTAAAGATCAATAGACATGGTAAAGATCGATAGACATGTTAAAGCTCAATAGACATGTTAAAGCTCAATAGACATGTTGAAGCTCGATAGGCATGTTTAAGATCGATAGACATGTGAGCCTAGTCAGTTAAACAAAAATTTATGTTAAA